ATAATAACAGAGCACAACAAATTTTTGCTCTCATTTTTTATAATATGTACAAAATAACCTGTCCTTGGCTAAATCAGGTATGCTGATCACAAAGAAACAGTCAGAAAGTTGTAACACATCAGTTATTGTTCATTTGCCTGAATTCAAGGCATATGAAAGTACATATCACCTACTACACTGTTTGAAATAATGTCAGAATGTAAATGAGAATGCACTTTTGACTAATAAAATATAATTTTCTTGAATTATGGTTGACACATAAGGACTAGGTAAAGAGCAGAAGTGAAAGAAAAACATATTTTCTGGCTCGTGAATTTAGTACACAGAACTGTTAGGAACTGGGAAATTTTAGTGTCCAGATTTTGAATTAGCATGTTGGAATTAACTAAAAAAGTCGATTTTCCTTAGTTTTACTGTAACCTTGTTGACTGGGTTTATTATTGGAATTTATTTTTGTTGTGTTTTGTCATGGGAACTGTCAGATACAAAATTTCAAATCTTTGTGGCTGTGGACCTGAACTTTTATACTGCATTGAGTAGAATAAAATTAACCTACACCAAAGTGATGTGATTGATCATATGCACAAAAAGGCATCATGACCTCATTAATTTTCAATGTATATATTTTAACATCCTGCACTTTGCTGATGACTTGTGAATATATTAATGAACTTAGCAGCGCTAGTAATCAGTATGTGATAACAAGTGGGACTTGTTAGTCTGTTGTATAAAATGGAGAGTCCTCATGTTCAGTGTCTATATTCTTAATTTCCAGGGTACTGGTTGTCTCAATAAAGAGGAAAAGCCTCTGGACTTTGTGTATATCCCATATGTGAAGGGTGTTTCACAGAAGTTCAGATGCATTGGGAATTGATATAACATTAGGATGATCTTAAAAAATATATACACTCTTAGGAATCCATTGATGAGAACCATGCTGGAAAGAGATCGCCAACAGATGGCACAGTACATCTATAACATTCCCTATGAATGTGGCAGAAGTTACGTCGGTGAAGCAGGCAGACCTCTAGTTGTGCGGCTCCAGAATATAGGCACACTCTTAAAGAGGGTCTTCTAGAGAAATCAAAGTTAGCCCAACGTGCCTATGAAGAGGGCCATGGGTGTAGGCTGGGATGAAGCTAGGATTGTGCAAATTAAAAGTAACAGCAGGTATAGGACTACAAGGAATTGGCCCATATTATGTGCTTAACCAATCCAATTAGCCATCCCAGTCTTGCAATTTTTCTCCTTATCAGCTATGAGGTTAGCAACTCACAGGGAAGATCAGGGTGATCTGGCAGATTCTTCATGGACTTCTGTGAGATTTTAATCCTGAAGGTTCCATTTTTTTATTTCTCACATGGTCCTAGTGGCAGACAAAAAATGGTTCCACAACTTTCTCCAGTTAATCCTGTGCATTAGTTTTCATGGACTTGGTTCATTGCATAAAATTTCCACCTCATTTTATATCTTAGTTTCAGATCTGTGCATTTTTTATCATACATTTTTCCTGTTATCTCCAATTGATGAAGCCTGGTCTCAGGTATTTATATTGCTGTAGTTATACTGACATAGGTTGTTCAGTGATTGAGGTTAGCTCTTTCTGAGGAACCTAGCAGAGTAGTGTGTCCCCCACTCACCTGAGGATGAAAACAGATCCAGTTTTTGAAATGTTGTTTTCTCTAGTTTCTTGTAAAGCTGGATGGTGGACAGAGTTAAAGAACCCAGTAATTCTGAAGCTCACTGCATGTTTCCAAAAAAGATAAATAATACTTCAAACTGAAAATCATTACCCCACCCCCTCCCCCATTTACCCTATCTCCACCAACATAACTTCTTCCTAATGTTCCATCACCAAGTAATCAAATTGCAAATTGCAAAAAACCAACTTGGCAGGCAATACTGAAGCTCAGCAACCTACAGCAATTTTAGAAGATTTTTTTTTAATTCTACAAAATCCTGTCACCTACAGTATCATGAACTTCTTATTGTGACCAGTCACCCTCACACACCAAAAGGTTTTGCATGCCAAAAACGTCGAGAACTGAAGCTAATCTACAGCACACAACAACCAATACCCTAAACACACCACGCTCCCCCATTTTATATTTAAATTATAATTTTTATTTAATGTTCTTAAACTACTAAATTTTAACCTTCACATTACAATACATGTCATTCAAGAGGTATCTCAAATTAAACCTTAAAATGTAAGAATTTAGATAATAATATTGGTAAATGTATAACAGGGATCCATTTTAATAGCTAATTCATTTATGACAGACGTGTATTTGTGGACCACCTGATGTTCTCTGCAGATCAAAACATGTAGTGGGTTGTAAATAAACCAAATAGCAAATATTTTAGTATCAATTTTATAACCAGTTGTTGTGTTGACAGCTTTCAAATATACCTTTAATATATGATACACAGCAGATGCAAAAGCTAAAGAGGATGCTGTGCAGTTGGCACCCACTTCCCCATTATGTCCTTAATTAAGCAGAGTGATAATTTTAACTGCATTAATTTCCAAATTAATTTAGAACTGAATATTTGAATATTTTTAGTTGTGAACTTTGCCAGTGTCCAGTGCAGAAGGTTACATAATTTTATTACATACTGTATGTTATAAAATAAGTGTGTTCCAGAGTGTTTGTAACATGAAAAAAGTTATTTTGTTGTGTGCTGCACCTTAATGAGAGTCAGACCTTTCCAGTAGACATTCTACATGTATATATTGTGTGTGAGATTGGAAATATGTTGATGGTAACAATTTTGTGTGTTCAAAAGTCTGATGTTGTTATTAAAACTCGTTCAGAGCACCAAGTGTATGGATGTGAACACAGGGTTGTTGTAGATGATGTAAATGCATCGAGATCTAAAATGTAAGATTTGAGGCTTTCATGGCGGTGACTATGAAGAAAGCAGTCTTCTGGGATTTGGCACCGTGTATATGTGGTGTTAACCGACGTTTCGGAGGAACGTATCGCCTCCATCTTCAGGGTAGAAGAAAAAATATAAGAAATCTGCAAGCGAAGAGAACCGACCGGTTCTCATGGTCTCTTCGCTTGCAGATTTCTTATATTTTTTCTTCTACCCTGAAGATGGAGGCGATACGTTCCTCCGAAACGTCGGTTAACACCACATATACACGATGCCAAATCCCAGAAGACTGCTTTCTTCGAAATCTAAAATGTTTTAAGAGTCTCTGATGTTCGAATTGTCCCTCACAAAGTGGTAACAAGTGTGATTTGTATTTGGGTGGTGCCTAGATCATGTCCTTGCATGTTATTTGGTTCCATGGTTTTACTTAATCCTCCCCTGTAAAATGATGGTATAGTTACATTAAAATATCGCTAGATAATGGCCAGTCCACGCCACGTGCCTCCTGATTGCTCATTTAGTCATAGCCATATCACATTGGATGGTGTAACACTATAGTTAACACAGCATTTGTAAATGCTTCTGAATAAGTTATGTATTATGGCATGAAGACCTGTTGCTAGGCAACAACCACAAAATAAGCAGCTATACAACAGCCATTGTTAAGTAATGGCTCTGTAAACAACAGCCATTGCTAGGTAATGACTGCAGCAGACGTCCACAAAGCAGTGTTCTCTGTGTGGTCTTTGCCAAAGCTATGTAATGAAGACCATCTGCTCTGAAAGAGTTTTGAGATGGCAGTGAGAAGAGTAGGAGGTTGGTGTGAGATGGCCGCCAGCCTGGGAGGAAGTTATTGGAATGGCATTGTTGTGAGTGTGTGAGTGAGTTAGAGGACTGCTACGGTTAAGTCCTTGTGAGCTGTTGCTGTTAGAAACTGGTAGCTGAGGCACAGAGACAGTTCAGGATCCCAGAGGAAGGGGAACATCTGCCATTGGAAGCCATTACCAGAAAACTGGTGAAGACGCAGCAGACTGAAAAGACTTAAGTTTGTGCTGTAGTGAATTGCAGAATGTGATTTGGCAATAGCACTACAGTTACTTGTAGTTATGATCTGTAAGTGTTCAATAAATCCAATTAGCAATCAAAATCCCCTCTATAGCTACTTCTGGACTGTCACAAAATACAGTGCAGTCATTTAGGAGCTTACTGAAAATTGCTGAGCCACTCAAGCAGAATAAGAATCATATGGTGCTCCTCTTGTCAAGTCATGTGGTGCAGATTCTGAGTTCTAGGGAATGTGACAAACCAGTTGGTAACACATCACAAATAAAACTTACCAATATTGCAATGGATACTGGAAATGCTCTATGTTTTGTTCTCGGGAGAATGTTTGAGCATAGCATGGATTTAATGGTTACTGCCCCTTATTCAGCTGCTTTTCCCATGTCAGTTCCTTGTCTAATACTAGACCAAGGTACTTGACATCGCTGGAGAGCTGGATCATCTTATGGAAGAGGGTCACTTCCTTCAGGTCCTTTATATTTCTCTTCCTGGTAAACGGTATAATTACCGTCTTATTGGGATTGATGGAAAGGCGTGTTCTTTCACACCATCATTGGACTGTGTACAGAGCTGTTTGAAGACACTCTGATACTGTCAAAAAGAATTTTCCATTTATGAGGATTGCTATGTCATCAGCATATCCTACTGATTAATTAATACCCATCATCATTAAGTCCCCACAGGAGTNACCTCTATGTCAAGAAATGCTCCTAAGGCAATATCCTTGTGTTCAGTCGCACTTTCTATGCATTTGTTGCCAGTTACTTGACAGAATTTTGTTGTGTTTATTCACCGTTAACCGTTACATCCTCTGTATTCTTATCGTTTGTTTTGAACGTGTGATATTCTCAGGATCATGAAGGTATGCAAAGATATTCATGTTCGACCACATTAATTCATGTGTGTATTCACTCCATTGTAATGAAGTGTGTGAAGCTGTTCCATTGTTATGACTTTCTCAATGTGTGGCATAGGATTGTGCACCTTATGTTTTTTCCCCTGCTATGTACCTGTTTGCTGTCTTGTAGCCCCTTCATGTTCTGACTGTGATGCAGCTTGGTGTGTTCCAGTGTTGCTGGGGTTCCAGTGAGATGCACAATACAAGTCCGGAGGGGCAATACCGTGCCAATGGTGCCCATAACCAGGAACGGGTTGCTATTCTGGATGCTGGTGCACAGTATGGCAAAGTGATTGATAGGAGGGTGCGTGAGTTGTGTGTGGAGAGTGAAATCCTGCCCCTTGATACTCCAGCTTTTACCTTGAAGGAGAAGGGCTACAAGTAAGTGATACTTATCTATTTGAAGCATGAGGTTCAACTAAATATTCAAAAGTTCATGTATCACCTTCCAGGAAGTGTACTGTGTCTCCATTATTAAGACCGGTTGACTAATGCTGTGTAAGGAAATAATTATTGTTCTTTCAGAAAATACAAAACTACACTCTGTGGGAAACATCCTGGCTTTTTGAATGTTAAAGCATATAGTAGACAATGTAATCACTTTACTTTAAAGGTTTATCAGCAGCCTGAACCACTATCATGGAGCTTTATAGGATTTGAGGTTCTCACAGTGGTGGTTATGAAGAGTTCTATCATCTGAAATATAATGCCATGTAGTCTGCTGAAAGTGAGCAGGTATTTCGGGAGTACTTGTCACATCCATCTTCAGGGTTTCAGAGTCGAAGAATAAGTAAATGAAACCTGTTAGGGACTGTTATAAAGGTGAAACTATGCCTATGACAGCCTATGGAGCTCCATAGGGTTGTGAGAACTTGACACTCCCACATTTTCTAGACTTTCAGCTCACAGATGATGGTAAGATTGTCAGTCTTACATGCTGCCCCCCCACCTTTACCCCCAGGAAGGTTCATGGCACACATTTCTGTTGGAGGCTGAGTCAACCCCAGGGCCATAGTGTGGCTGGAAGGTTTAGGTCAATTGAAAAATCCAGTGACCTCATTGGGAATTGAACCTGTGACCTTCTGGCTTGTAGTTTAGTACCTCAACCAACTATGCCACCACCTGCTTTCTAGGGACTTATGGGTGAGGGAATAGAGACTTAAAATAGTCCCCATGGGTGTTGAGACAGGGATCCCATTCGTGCACTTGTTGATGGATTCCATCCCCAAAGAACTGACTGGCCCACTGCTGGAACTGCTGCACCACCTCAGCCTTGACATTTTCATCTATTCAGATCTGTATCCCTTCAGTGCTTTCTTGAGGGGCCAAACATGAGAGGCCCACAAAATGTATACAAAAGTATGCAGTCAGTCTACACAACAATATTCTGTATTTAAAACAAAATAGACACTATTGTATCAACATTTGTCTTTATTGACACAATATGTTTTGACCCTTATACTGGGTAATCATCTGGCGTACAGTGATACCAGACTCAGTTGTTGAATAGCATCTAATCCTTCAATAAGGAACCTTATTGTGCACTTGAGTGTTTTAAAATGCATAAATTGAGACTTTCAGTTAAAATTTTTAAATACTGAGATAATAAAATTTAAAAATTAGAGACTGAAGATTAAAACAAAAATTAAAATTGTACTAAAATGGAAATGGATTATTTTCTGATAAATCTCTTTAACCTTTAACGACCGAAAGTCCGGTATACCGGACGGTACCTGTGACCTCGAAGATGCCGAAAGTCCAGTATACTGGACGCAAGACACGTGCTCACTTTAGAAGTGCTGCCGGTTAGACGTTGAGTTTGAAACCAAAACAAACACACGCAAGTTCAAGTCAGAGGTCCAATTGTTGGCTCTGAACAATAAAACCCTTCATCATGGCACTGGGTTCGATTTCGTTTACATGTAGGTAAGACTGTTTGTGACTTGGTCAGCCAAACAGAGTGGAAGCTTCTTCACAGAACAGCTGACCCAACATTCCTCTGTGCGGGCAGATCACTGCTTCTGTAGCTCTCAAGGAAGTGTGACGTGTTTAGTGAGTGTCTGAATTATCAGCTTGTGAGTCAGTGGCGGACTGTTTCTCTGGGGAAGCCAAGATTTTTCATTGAGTCATCTGGAACTGAACACTGACAACACTGTCCGGCCAGCCAGATAGAAACAATAACTTCCTGTTTGTTCGCTAAGCGAGAGACTGAACCAGATTGTCTACCAGCGTATGAGAAGTGAGGTCTGTGTGACCTTCACATCGCGCTGAAGCAAACTCTGCCTCTCCGCGCTCCCGCACGCAGTATCTATAGTAGCGTAAACTTACACGACGCAACGAGTTGAAACTCGTGTACAGTCTGACCAAACATTTTGGTGTATAGTGTCAATGTATTTTGGATATAACGACGTCTCAAATTTGAAGAAAAAATTATGGGTAAGTCTTTTGGAATTTCATTACACATATAAAAGAGAGTATATTTTGAATTTCATGACATAACAATCACAGTTAATTTTTATTTGTAAAAATTGCCTTACGTATATTATAGGAAATTTCATTCTTTTTCAGGCGGTTTTTAGTTCGTAATTCTAAGCTGCATAGAACGGAAAATATATAGTTTTTTCTGAAAGTCTACAATATTAAAAGGGCAACGTCAAATTAACTCCGGCAGCAGCGCAGTCGTGGGGGGTTTAAATGCCGACTCTTAAAGGTTAAAACCTTGTGACTGCTATGTATTGACGTGATTTTCTGGTCGTAGAAGCGATTATAGTGTGGGGTGCCTGCAAATTGGGATCTTCTCACTAAGTTAGGTCATGTGGTCTGGACCTTACTATTTTCTTGTGGAGCTTATGCTCATTATTCTGTATGTCACCCAACAGGTTGTTTATTTAGAGTGATGTATATTAGATTTTCTTGCAATGATATGCGTATGGGCTGCTCCCTGTGTTGCTGTTGTCACTATGTTGTGTAGTGCTGTGAATAGATTAATTTGAACAGTGCTAATATTAAGTGACCTTTAAGAAGAACTGTGCAGCATTTGTGTACTTTCTGCCATCTGCGTGCAAGAAGGCAACCCCAACTTGGCATAATTTGGTGCATCAGGTATACACTGAAGTTTTTTGAATATTATCCACAATCATTCTTAAGTGTTACCAGTTCATAAAATAAAAATGATGCTAGTCCATTTTCAGCTTAACTATTTATCTGATTCTGAGTGTGTATGTTTTAGTCGATGTGCATTTATTGTCCTGTCATGATCGTACAAGCCCTTTATCAGTGCCTAGAACCATCCATCTCATAACAGTATTGGCTGACAATCATATGTTGGCCGGGCACATTATCTTTTGCGTGTTCACTTCTGCCACCATGTTTCTGGCTGCACTTTGACTGCTTAAACTTGTGAGCGCACATTTTTGCCGTCTGAGGCTCAGATGAAAATTTGATAACAGTGCTACATTCTTCAACCTGCACTGGGACTTGTTACATCACACACAGGTAGGGTCACAGGCTATCAGATTCCAGCATGACTGTAGGGTTGTCTAGTTGTTAGGTTTACAAGATGTAAAGTTATAAATTCTGACAAAATTCTGAGACCAAGATAAAACTGTTTGAACTCTGATGAAATACAGTATGTGGCTTACACTGTATGTTTCCTAAGGACACTGATTTTGATACTTGCTAAACCAGCACTATCTTATGTTAGTGAATCATGGACAATAAGAGGAACTGATGAGGGAAATTGATATGAACAGAAATATATTTGATGAGGACTGTGGGATAAACTCTTTCAGAAGGAAGGAAAGGAATTGTGAGAGGACTGCAGATTCCTCAGTTAATTGAATTATAGAACAGTACAGAAGAAATTGAAAAGAAAATGTTGACAGGATGAACTATGGCTGGATTCCAAGGAAGGTATTAAAATGCCGTCCAAAAGTTTGGGATAAAAAGAAGGTTGACTGAAATCTGAAATGAGGGTTTCTGATTTGCATTATTGCCAACAGGTCTCAGTAGGCCTCATACTGGATAGGGTGATTATGTTGATCAGTTTAGTTTGATTCAATTCAATTCATATTTATTTACATGCAAACTTAACAGCACAGAGGTCGATTACAAAGTTAGCACGAGTACATAAAAAGGCACCAAAAATACCTGAACAACAGAATACAAAATAAGACAGTTTATATAATGGCAGTAAATTAATAATAATTCCAAGAAAAATTAAAGTTAACATTCACAGGTGAGTAAAATAAAACAAGTACATGTTCAGTGGTTATGCCATTATGTAGCAAGAAAGGACAATACACATACATACACATAGAAGTTCATAATAATAGTGTGACATGTTGACCCCTACCTCCCCAGCTGCACGTAGCGGTAACGTAGCGCTCGCGTAATAGGCGAGTAATCACCCCACATCCTGGTAGCTATGCAACGTGCGGTGACGTCACGAGCGGAGCCGACGTTAGCCGAGTCCCCGCACCTTGAAGCTATGCAAAGCGAATCAACAGCGGTGATGTCACCGAGGGATATTGCGGTTGCTAGGCAGCAGTCAACAACTCCGGACAGCGTGGCTAGCAACACGGACCAGACGACAATTGTCCGATCAAGGCTACATAAGGAGCAGCGAAGGCTATTCACAGTCAGTTGTGCTGTGACAGCCGCCGAGTTGGAACGTGGGCAGTCGCCGAGTTGTAACGTAATAGTCGCCGAGTGTGTTATCAACAGTTCTCCAGTCAGCCGACTACTGTTGGAGTATAGCAGCCGTCGCGGAAAAAGATCCGGACGTGTGTGTGATTGTGTCATTGGGAGCGTGTGATACAGTGATACCTAGCTCCCCTACTGTCAACGTGTAGACTACTGAACACAGAGTGAACTGCTTTGCGCATAGGGTTATAAATCGTGAAACCCCGCAACAGTGTTAACAGATTAATGCGATTAGGGTTATAAAGTGTGAAACCCTGCAACTGTGTAATAATTAATTGTAGCCGTTACTTGTAGGTTGTTGAATAAACCAATTAACGATCTCTACGGCGTATTCAGTAACGTAAACACGTTACATTGGTGTCAGAAGTGGGATTAGAACTTACACACGTGACTGACGAGATTCGATCTCAAGACACGTTACAATAATAACTCAATTAATTCTTATTTGTGTGCTAATACAACATCCAAATAATAATACCATATTGTCAAAAACGATTGAGGAGAATGTTCCTGACTCCGAATATGTCAACATCCCTGCAAACATCATTAGTAGCTGATGCATATCTAGCAGAGGGACAATTTTTACATGATGAACAAACATTGAACAGTGCAAGTGTCTCAGATATACTGAACAGGAACTCAGAGATCAACAATTTCCAAAATGTAAGGGCAGAATT